ACAAAGGAATTGGTTCACATGGAGGCTGCAGGTCAAGCCAAGTCCAAAACCATGAACTATAGAACTCCCTCTTGTTAAGGAGAAGGCTATCTTCAATCTATGCATGACTTCAGCTGATTAGACGAAGCGCACTCGGTGAAGAAAGGCCACCAGCTATATTCAAAGTCCAAATTTAATTGCCATCCTCACCCATATATACCCTTACAGAAGCCTCCAGAACATTAGAGCTAATCAAGTTGACACATGAACTCTGTAGATATACCTCCTGTCAACTTGGCACCCATATGCAATGCTTTAAAGCGTACTCAGTCTCTAAATAAAGACAGTTACAAGGTTTGTCCTGCTGAGGACAGGGTTATGTATGCATCTAAACACACTGACCCTTTTCCTCAGAAGGTCCCAGTCACCCGGGCCAACCCCCAGCAGGCAGTGATGGCCTATCTTTGCTTCTCTTTCCTCTGTAACTTTCCTTCTGAGGCAGAGGGACCAGCATTGAATCTGTGCCTGTGACTCCTTGTTTGTCTACCAGACAAAATCCTGTGAAGCCACTGGAGGACACTGGCCTGCAGGGAACAGGAGTGCTTCGCAGACTCGGCACCTCCCCAGTTTATGTTCGCAAGAAGTCCTGATCCTTCCTGCATTGCTGCCCAGGGTGCCCAAGATGGGGTGATTTGTAAGGAACAGAGTTTTTCGGTTTTTTTTCCCCAAAGTTCTAGAGGATGCACATCAGGGAGTGCCCTGCCAGCCTCTGGTGAGAGCTTAGTGCTGTGTTATAGTGTAGGGAGTGTCAGAGACACAGCAACTTCCTAGCCCATGTCTTTCCTCGTTGTAGAACCACTAATGCCTTGTGTGTGTATCCCACTTACTGCCTTGTCTAACCCTGATCGCCTCCCAGGTGTGACTTTGTGATTGAGATTCCAACATTTGAACTTTTGGGGACACAGACAAACCACAGCAGATCCTTGAAATTAAAGATCACTGCTGCTCTCTCAGAGGACTTAGATTCGAATCTCAGCACCCACATGGTGGCTAACAACCATCCATAACTCCAGTTCCAGGGGATCTGGTGCCCTCTTCTGGTCTCTGAGGGCATTGCATGACACCAGTGCACTTACACACATGCAGGCAAAACACTCATACATATAAAATAAAAATAATTAAAAATTTTTTTAAGTGAAATGGGAAGGGTGTTGCTGTGATAAAACACCATGACCAAGGCAATTTATAAAAGGAAGCATTTATTTGAGCTTACAGTTCTAGGGGGATATTGCCAGGGGAGGCATAGCTGCAGACAGCTGCCCCCCCACATGTGGGAAACAGCGTGAACTGGAAGTGGGGTGGGGCTGTGGACACTGAAAGCCTGCCCCCAGTGATGCACTTCCTCCAACAAGGCTAAAGGTTCCACACCATCCCCAAACAGCACCCCAACTGGGGACCAGATGTTCAAATATATGCACCTAGGGGGAACAGTTCTCTCTAACCACCACAGGAGGCCAACGAGATGGTTTGGCTGGTAAAGGTGCTAACTACTGAGGTCATCAGCCTAGCCTGATGATCTTAATTTGATCCCCAGAACCCACATCATAGAAAAAAGAGAACAGACTCTCATAGGTTTGCCTTCTGACCTCCACAGGTATGCCCATGGCATGCGTGCGCGCGTGCACACACACACACACACACACACACACACACACAGAAAGCGTAAAAATAAATGTATTTAAATATACATAGAAATAAATAATTTTAAAGCCTTAAAAAAAGAAATGTTCTCTTTGCCTGTTTGGTTTCTGTTGTTAGTCTCCCTCTACAGCCGAGACTGGCTTTGAACTTTTGATCCTCCTGCCTCAGCCTTCCAAGTGCTGGGATTATAGCTATTACTACCATACCTGGCTTGAAGCATTCTCAGGTGCTCAGGGAGCTCCTGTGGGAGCTCTCCTAAGGCTATGATCTAGAAGTGGAGGAAATGCTGCACCACAGGAGCAGATGTACCTCTTCACAAACCTGTCTTTGTGCTGACTTAGACCCTCCCCAGGAGCACAAGCATCGCCCTGGTGCCTTCTCAGATATGAAGAGGACTGTGAGGCTGACTTGGCTCGGCCTCCAGGTGTGCCAGAGCTCCGCTTGCCATCTTGTACGTTTCTCCAACTTCACAGGTTGGGCTTGTCCGTCTCATTTGCTGGCTCCCGGAAGTGTCTGCTCATCTTCCACATATGGGTTCTCTTGATTTTTTCGTGTGTGTGTGTGTGTGTGTGTGTGTGTGTGTGTGTGATATATATATATATATATATACGTTTGCATGTGTGGAGGCGCATGTGTGGGTGCTAGTACATGTGCACACGTGTGAGCACGTGTGTGGAGGACAGGGATTGATTTGGGGAGTCTTTTTGGTTACTTGCCACTTTGTTGATGCAGGGTCTCTCGCTGAACCCAGACCCTGTCAGTTTTGGCTAGTCTAGCTTGTCCCAGGGATTCCTTGTCTCTGCCTCTCAAGTGCTAGGGTTACAGGTGGCTGCCATGAGTCTGGCTTAAACATGGGTTCTAGAGATCCAAACTCCAGTTCTCCCACCAGCCCAGCAGATACTTTGTCCACTGAGCCATCTCCTCAGCGCCAGTGTATTCACCAGTACTGTGACTGGCTCCAGGCGTTATTAGCACCAGTAACTGCCAGGCTTTGTCCTGAGAGCTCCTGGCTTGTCTGCCGGGACTCACCCTTGTCCACGCTCAGCCATGTTCACCCCTCCTTGGCTTCCTCTGTCTTCAGTCCTTCCCACGGGTTCAGATTGTCCCCCGCATCCTGTTCTAAAAGATCATTGTCATTTGCTACCCCATTCACGTTTTGATTTCTGAAAGACCAAATGTCTGCATGGTAGAAGGCAAGAATTGTAACTCATTCTGACCACCATAATGAAATGCCCCAAACTGAGTGAGTGTATAAGCCACAGGAGCTTGCTCTCCCAGTGTGGGGCTGGAGGTCAGGGGTCAGGAGCCAGCATGGGTAGCCAGCTTCCAGGTTTCAGGTGACATCAGATGACACCTTTTCAAGTGTCCGTATGTGCAGGGAGCGAGTGCTGCTCTCTTCTTGGGAGGGCAGCAATTGGGGCCCTACCCCATGCCTTCCTTTCACCTTAATCACCTACCCAGAGGCCCAGTCTCCAAATACAGCCCAGTCCCTCAACAGTGAAGTCCTGGCTTTTTCAGAGGAGGCACCACTGTAAATCCCGGTCACCGGTCACATCTGTGCTCCACATCTGGGGACTCCCTGATCAGCCTTGGCCTCTGCTAGGGTGTCTTTGGTTCCCTTAACTTCTCTGTAGTTCACGAAGGCATTGAACTTGTCCTTCATTTATGTCTTAAGGCTGTAACTGAACTTGAAGGTTTTCCTGGAACAAGCAGGGCAAAAAGACCTGGCCCACAAGTCCTGTTTGTCCCCAAGCTGCCGGCTCAGCCCCCTCAGTTTTACTTCTCGGCCTCTGTCCCCTGGTCACTTCATGCCTTATCCCCTCTCTTCAGCTGTCAGATGGTGTGGGAGCCACACGGAAGGATAGTAAGGCCTATGGATGTTTGGAACAAGGACTTGTTTCCTGAGCTAGGCTTCCCCAGGAATGTGGGTGGGCCAGGAGAGGCAGGGCTGTGCCTGTCATGGACAGAGGTCCATAGGACTCTCTCTGGACTCCTCAGAGCCATGGGGAAGGTGGACTCTGGTTTTGTCCCTCTCGGTGGTATATGTTGCTCCCATGGGCCCCAGACCTAAAGCCCCATGTGGGTGAAATGGGAAGGGACAGAGGTTGGCGCTGCCTCCATCCTGGTCCCATCTGAGGCTGGAACCCTGTAGGGTTACCAGATGACACTTCTACCAAGTGACACTCAGGCTGCACTCTGGGGGCATCAGAGGCACACCCCAGTCTGCAGGAGGGCTGGAACGTAGGGTCTGCAGTGGGTACGTCTGTGGTGGCCAATCTGCCCCTGTCTGTGGGGCCTTCATTCTTCCTGAGCTCCCAGAGGAACCCCAGTTTCCGACTCCTCACTGAATCTCCCTTTTAAAGAGAGAGAAGCAAGTTTGCAGTTTCTGTGACCCGATTTCAACAGTTTCCAGCCAGAGCTGGTAATTTGCTTGTTTTAAAAACATTCCGTTATACTTTCCACTTTGGAATATTTGCAGCGCTTTCATTAGGCTCCTGCGAGTCGCTCTTGCTGCAGGTTTTATAAAAGCACAAAGCTTCCCATTGTACGTTGTGTTTCTGGAGATTTTCTCTCCGCATGCTCAGATCATGGCATTTGAGGCTTGTAGAGTGAACAGTATTAGGCTGTGGTTCTGGTTGGAGCTTCACTGGTGTTTAAAGAGCAGCTCCTCTAGTCTGAATGTACTTGTCACAGAGTGATGTTGGAGTAACTGAATTCAAATGAGTGTTTTGGAGAGTTCTGCTCTCCTCTGCTCCAGCGTGTATTAGGTTAGAGGGGACTGGCTTGAGTGAGTCACTGATGATGCTGGTGTATTCACCCTTTAGGCTGACTGTAGACTCCAGTGTGGTATCCACTTTCCCTCTTCGGATAGTCATATGTAAATATCATGGTCCACTTGAACCTTGTGCCTGTATGGAAAAAAGGGCCTGGTTTTCAGAAGCTGCCCAGAGGGAAGGAGGGTGAAGGCAGACAAGCAGGCAATAGGTCCCTGGGGCTGGAGGAACCGACATCCTAGTGCTGGACCCTGCCTATTCCTGCCAGCTGCCCTGTTTCTCCACTGCTTTCCGGAGCCTGTCCTACCTGGGCTTCCATCTCCAGCATCCAGGGCTGTGCCAACAGGAGAATCATGTGAGGAGAGGAGAAAGGGGGCTTCTGCCCAGGGAAGCTGTCATTGCAGCTCTGGCATCCCGAGGCCTGGATTGTAGGCCCAGCTCCAGTCACCTGGACAGGGTGATCTGTCCCCATCCATGCCTTGGGTGGGGGAGCCAGTTCCTGCACCACGATGGTACTGCTTTATACCTTTTTCACATCCTCTCTAGAATCCATCTACCGCCGCGGGGCCAGAAGATGGAGGAAGCTGTACCGCGCCAACGGCCACCTCTTCCAAGCCAAGCGCTTTAACAGGGTGAGTGGTTCTCTTACTGCTCCCTTCCAGGGGTCATTTTTATTGTTTTTGCAAGTTAAGAAAAAGGGAGAAAAGCTTCCTGCTCCTACTTGGCAGGGCTGGGCTCCCTTCACGTACCCTGGAGGGAAGTCCTGAGCCACCAGCTTAACCAGTACTGCAGGGCTATGGAAGTGCATTCTGGGCTGCTCTGAACCCGTGAAGTTCCTCTCCAGTGGGTCTCCTGAGTGGTGGCCACTAGATGCATATATCTGTGCCTTGGGTGTCCCTTCCTGCCCCTGATTATATAATCCTTTATCACTGCCACTGACTCTGAGGACTTGGTCCACCTGCCTCATGACCTAGAACTACCCAATGGGACTTAGCACAGCCTGCCTACCTCTTTCGGCACATGATGATTCCTTTGGGTTGCAAGGGTCTCCCTGGACCCCCAAAGCCCCAGACACCCCTACCTTCCTGGATTTTATCCCTCTAGTGGTCAGGGATATGTGGCTTCGCTCCCCAACTCTCTCATCACGGTGCTTCTGTGTTCTCCAGTGTGCGGTGACCAGGTGGCTCTGTAGTGACGTCCTTCCACTGCAAAGGGGAGGTACCTATGCGCTTCTGTGTCCAGCAAGCTCCTCCCACTCCAGAGTGGCTTGGGGTGTGTGAGCACATGGAGGCCTGCGCCCACTGCAGCACTGCATGGAACTACCACATTCACCATCCCCTCAAGGGCAACTGCCTGACCAACCCTTCACTTTTCTGCTCTCTGCCCCTATGCTAGGTAGAAAGGTTAGCACTGAGTGGCCACAGGCCCAACAATTCGAAGCTCAGACAGCTGTGCCACTGGGTCAGCCCAAACCCTGCTGCTCCCTAAGCTAGAGGCTCCCTCTGTCTTGTTTTCCAGTCTGCAACATGGGGTGATGGTGGGAGGGATGGAGAGGTAGGTGCACAAGGGTTGTGGATGTGTGTGGTGGAGTGACAGCTACGTGGAGGCTGCTGCATCTTCAGAGCAGCCACTGACGCCCTTTGTGCGTTGTCATGAACTGCACCGTGCTGGCTGCCTTGGCCTCTGGTCCCTCCCTGGTCTCTTCTGGAGCCATGGTGGATGCTGGGCGTCCTCTGTAACCCTGGGTGGTTCTGTGGGTGTGAGTTGCACCTCTTACATTTATCTGAGTACTGGATACCTGTCATGTGTCAAGAACATGGGGCTGCCCTCACCCCTGTCCCAAGAGCTGATATGGCTGGGGTGGTAGCGGGCCCAGGTACAGAGCAGGAACATGTATACTTGATCTGAGCCAAAGACTGAGAGGCAGTGAGCAGAAATAGAGAACACTGGGCTGAGAAGGGATGTGGGCCAAGGGCCAGGAAGACAGCCAGGTACTGCTTGGAGGAGAAAATGTCTGGTCAGCCTGGAAAGTCAGCCTGGAGAGCATGCTGGGAACCTAGGACACAGCACGCCTGGGAGGGCCCACATGTAGCAGAGGACACCAAGACCAAGTCCAGGGACTGTCACAGCAGGCCTTGCTCTCACCGCCCCCCATTAAGGTTCTCCCAGTACCCCCGGGCCTAACACATAGTTGGTACACACTGAACATTGGCTTGTCCTTTATTGTGACTAAAGGTTGGAAGATTGCCTAGGGAGACCTGGGGAGTCACAGTGGCAAAGAAGAGGGAATGGAATGTCTGCCAAGTAAGACCCTGGGGAGCCTTGGAGAGGCCTAGTTGGTCACCAAGCAAGAGGTGAAAGGGTGCCAAGTGTCAAGTGCTGCCCAGAGGACAGCTGGGATAGGAAGGCTGAACCTTTGGCACCTCTGCTGCCCAGCAGGGTGTACTCCTGGAATTTCACAGTGAGCCAACCAGACAGCAGGATAGAAGCTGCCTACTGAGAATGTGGAGAAGTAGAGGCTCCAGGCCTCAAGGTACACATTTGTCTGTGAATGAAACAGGCAACTGACCATCTGTGCAGCCAGGTGCCCTCTCTCCTGTGAGCCTGGCACTGATGCCGTTCTATCCAGAGTAGGAATCTCAGGCACCCCAACAGCCCACCAGAGAGGGAGTTAGAAGTACTGTCCTGACCTGTGTTTATTCCCCTCATTCCTGGTTGACTGATGGCTAAGACAAAGCCCATCTACTCATCCACCCACCCAGCACCCAGGCCAACACTCAGGTAGCACCAGGAGCCTCTCACCCTGGCGCGTGTGCATGCGTGTGTGTGTGTGTGTGTGTGTGTGTGTGTGCGTGTGTGTGTTTATGTGTGTGTGTTATATGTACACATTCATGTAGACATGTGCATGTACATGCACACATACACATATGCTGGTGCAGGTAGAGACTGAAAGTTGATGTCAAGTGTCTTTCTATGTCGCTCTCCAGCTTATTTTTTGACACAGGGTCTCTCACTAACCCTGGACCTCACTGATTCAACTCGTCTGCCTGGCCAGTGAGCCCTGGGATCCTCCTGTCTCTGCCAGTGCTGGTATTGCAACCTTGCACCACCACACCCAGCTTTTGATGTGGGTACTGGGGATTGAACTCAGATCCTTATGCTTATATGGTAAGGACTTTGACTGCCGACTAGCCATCTCCGCAGCCCCTGTGGCTCCCACCCGGCCCTGTGTTTGCACTTCAACTTTCCTCTGGCTTTCAGAAGAAAAAAAGGTTCATCTCAAAGGGAGAACCTGCAAGTAACACTGGCCTTGGCCCGTGACAGGGAATGGATGGGGCCCTCAGGAGGACCCTGAGCTCCGCATTTCCTGTAATGGAGGAAGAACTCTGCCCATCACACTGAGATTGTTGATTAAGTACTGACCAGGAAATGGAGAGATCTAAGCTCTCTTGTTTTTATTCAGATATGCTGCAGAGGTGGATTTTTTTTTTTTTAATATGTATGCTTGTATTGCCTGCATGTAGGTAAGTGCACCCGTGTCATGCAGTGCCCACGGAGGTCAGAAGAAGCTGTCAGATCCCCTGGGACTGGAGCTACAGACAGTTGTTAGCTGCCATGTGGGTGCTGGGATTCGAACCCAGGTCTTCTGCAAGAACAACCAGTGTTCTTAACCACTGAGTCTTCTCTCCAGCCCCGGGAGATTTATGTTTTAAAAATTACAAAAACAAGAATCAATGCAGGTCTCCAGGGAAAAATGGGCAGCGGGAACTAAAGAGGTTTTTAGACTCAGCCATGTTAAACAAGTTGAATTTCTTTAGTTTCTAAACAAATGTAGAAACCATATAGGAAAAATTGTCTGTATGTGTTCACGTGTTGATGGATGGATGCACATGTGATTACAGGAGCATGCGTGCATTCGTGTGGCGTGCGTGTGTGTGTGTGTGTGCGTGCGTGTGTGTGTGTGTGTGTGTGTGTGTGTGTGTAGGCCAGAGGGCAACTTCAGGTGTCAGTCTTTTGGTGCTATCACCTTTTTACTGAGATGGGGTCTCACAGTGGCCTGCAACTCCCCAGGCAGGCTAGACCGGCCAGCCACTGAGCCCCAGGGACCTGTCTCTGCCTCCCCAGTGCTGGGATCACAAGTGCACACCACTGTACTCAACTTTTTTACATAGTTGCTGGAGATAAAACTCAAGTCTTTGTGCTAAGCACTTTACCAACTAAGCCATCTCCCCAGCCCTGGGAAAAATGTTGTAATAAATGAAACCTGGAAGACTAAAAGATCAAAGCAATGCAAATGGTTTCTATTTAAGGAGTCCCTGCAGGTCGACTTTGATAAATGCTAGGACAGAGCCAGGTGTGAGTGGTTAATTGAAGACTGTAATTGTTCATAAATGTAGGCTCTTGACTCACATAAGTATTTTTTAAATGATGACAATTTTTCTGTCAGTGTCAAGGGCATTGAAAGGAATCTGATCAGTGTTGACCCAGTGAGGTGCAGTGAAGGCCCTATTCCTGGGGTGAGGTGCAGACATGGACCCTACCTTCTTGAGTGTGTGCCACCCAGCTTCTTTCTAGAAGAATCCCCCAAAGGTTGGTTCCATGTTGTTCTTACAAAAGTGGGGACTGAACCTGGGAGAACAAGGCTCCCTTTCCTGCAGAAACGCCACCCATGCTAGAGACCTGAGCCACAGCAGTTGATGTTCCTTATGATGGCCACATGGTCCTGTGCTGGGTCATACAGGCCTTGGTGCTACAGGGGAGGTCTGAAGACTTTGCCATGAGTCTGCAGGAAACAGTAGAGCATGCTCACAGAGGTCACAAGGAAAGAAGGGAAATGGACAGGGAGACAGGCTTAGTTGGTGCCACCAGGTAGGACCATCAAGGATTTCCACTAAGCTTGGGTCTACATTTTCCATTTGTCAGGACTTAGACCTCTGTTATAACCATTCAGTGCTGCCATTGTGGTTCAAAAGCAGCCGCAGAGGGTCTGTGTGCCAGTGCAGCTGTGTTCTAGTAAAATTTCATGTACGAAACAAGCAATGAGCTGGGTTTGACCCACAGCTGTGGTTTGACGAGGCGCTTGAGACTGATACTTGCTCAGGTGTTTGAGGCCCTGAAAGGACTGGTTTGGGGTTTCTCATGGGACCTACCCTCACTGAACCACTGGCATAAAAAAAAAGATGCCAGCCATGAACTTAGTGGGCAATCAAAGAATAAGGCTGCCGCCCAGGTACGGCAAGGCAGAGGGGCAAGCAACACTCTGGGAGTTTGAAACCTCGCACCAGGCCTCACGCATACTTACAGCCAGAATTAGTATCCTGTCAGTGGGCACAGCAGAAGCAAGTGCAGCTTGTCTTCAAGGCAGCCTCAGAGACTTCCCACAGATAAGGGAACAGGGCTTTGGAGCTCACAATCAGAAACCAGAAAACGTAGCAGAAAACTTGGCATTCTGATCAAGAGCCAGCAAAAACTGGGACAGAAGGTTTAACCTAATTGAATATAAAATAAGTGTTTAACATGTCTGAAAAATTTAAATGTGATTGTAAAATAGGAGCGGGGAACAAATTGGCAGCCTGTGAGACAGATTTTAAGATATTTTTCTTTTATTAATCTATTAATTCATGTGAATTTC